GCTTATTCAGGCAGGCCAGAACCGCCCAACATGGAATGCTGGGCCGTCTGTTTTTGGTGAGTGGTCACTTTCTCGGCCCTCAATGCCGCTAACTCTTCCTTGTGCCTTCTCTGCATCTCTTGCATATGGTGTTGCATCTCCTTTATCAGCTCTATAGGATCTTGCTAGTTGTCAGAGCAGTTGTACTCATGTTCTTGGTGATCACCATTGAGTTGTTTACTGATTTCTCGGGCCTATAGTGAGCACTAAAATGTTTTGGTTATGGGATTGAGGTTATCGGTTGACTATATATCCTTGATGTCTGCATGTCTTTGTTAATGTTCATCTTGGAATTTTGTTCGGACAAAAAGGTTACCAGTAGAAGATACTTTGATGTCAAAATCAGTAAAAATCTGATAGAATTAATGTGTAATAAAAGCAATCATCTATCTTTTTACCTCAAATCTATATTTATAAATTTCATAATAGACTTTGGATTATTAATGACAATTGGTACTAATCATGTTTTGCTGGAAATTGATCATCAATCAGGTTTAGTCGTTCTTAAAAGGTGATTGTTCTGTCTGTAGATTATAGTTGTTTGATCTCAAGAATGGTCATCATAATTACTCTCGTAGTATCCTTGACTATATGGACCGTGACAGTCAATAATTAGTGAGACAGTCATACGGTACAGTTCTTAATACTTAAAAATGCATATATGGCCTTTTTGTTTCACTGTTTTGCTGTGCATTCACGCACTTGTGTTACCGATGCAGTGATTGATGCCGTCTGTATATTAGGAGAGTATTTGAAGGAAAAGCCTTGGCTGGAGCTTTTGTGTAACCATCTAAAGTATAGCCTTTTATAATATCTTATTTTAAAGATTTTACCTGAATATTCCTTGTGGTGATAACTTACAAGAGAAACCATAGAGGGATTGAAATGGGATTCTTTAAGATATATTCCTTAAAATATTTAGTTTTGCAGGTTAAATATACTTGAGGTTACTGGAAAAGTACAAGTATATGCTGAAGGAAGTAACCCAGGTTTATGTAACGAATCACAGGTATTTACTGGGACGGAAGAAGAATAAGTCTTTGGATTTGTTATTCATTTTGAACTAATTTGTATACTGCTGATTATCAGGAACAACGGAGTGAAGATAAGAAGGCCACAACTGTAAAGAAAGGTAGACAAGCGAAGAAGGTAAAATTGGAGACAGAATCACACAACATCAAAGATATGTTTACGAGGGCCTCCCGAAAGAAAAGCTAACATTCCCTTCCCATTCTATTGGTGGAAACGGGTCATTGTCATAGTGTATCATTTCCTAGACCTGCAAGGAGTGGATAAGCATTGACTCAGCTCCTGGTTTGTACCGTCCCAACTCTTTTTTTAGATTCTATTATCATTTATTATCAATTTCGCCTTATCTAATTTTACAAGTGAGGAGTAAAGTTGGTAAAATAAATCTGATTCAGGACCGATTTGAATAACCCATAAAATAGATCGGATTATATTTGAAAAATAATAATTTAAATTAAAGTAGATAAAAATACCTGTTTAATCTGATGTTTAAACAGGTTTAGACCAAATTATATAAAATTTGATTTATTCATCTTTAACAATAATGCTATGGTCAGAAAAATAATAAAAAAGTAATAGTTTTGTTAAAATATATGTACTGAAATTTTATTAAAATATTACGCCTAACTTAACCTTTAAATATGTATTTTTAATTTGGAATTATTTTTTAGTTTACTTTTTTAAATGGATTAATATAATTTTGTAGTTTGATAAGTTCGGGTTTGCCATAAATTTTCCCTAATGCTATACCGTTGATTTTTTCAATCTGAATTAGGATATTTTTATGGAGGAGTCGAGTCTACATCCAAAATAACTTGGGGGTCTTTTTGTCCTATTAGATCACTGACCTGATTTAATACCCTCGTAACACTTATCTCATCTGGCATCTTTTTCAGCATCTCATTGAAAACACTTTATTGTAGATAGCTATAGACCGCTGGCATCTCTTTTAGCATCTCATTGAAAATGCTTCATTTTAGATAGCTATAGAATGCAACACTTTATGTAGACATTTCATTATGTTAAAAAGCGTTAGACTTTATGTAGACATTTCATTATGTTAGAATGCAACACTTTTTAATTGGTTTCAATTGAGGTTTTGTTTTTTAAAATGTATAATAATTAGGTTATTTCTTAATATCATAACAGCGTTAATTATGTGTTATGTGTTCCTTTGTGTTTTTTAAAAAAATAATTTTTAATTTTTTAATTTTATTTATGAAATCATTGTATGAGTTTCAATTTAATTTAGTTTTTTTTTTAAAATTAAATAATTTTTTTTTCAAATTAAAACTAAATTTAACTTTATGTAAATGTTATAAAAATATTTTTATTAAAATTAATATTTTAATTAAATATTTTTCATAAGATTAAATTTATTTAAATTTATATTTTACATAATCAGTAAAATAAAGGTGAGAATTTAAGACACGACCTTACAATTATTTTTTCTCAAGGTGAGGGTCTATTTTCTTTCATCTCGTTATTTCTTGGATTTACATATAATTTTTTACAGTGTTCTTTTACATTAATTTGTTAATATTTTATAAAAAATTAAGTAATTAAGCTAATATTCTTCGACCAATCAAGATTGGCTAGTTTGTATATAGTTTTAAGTTCATATTCTTAAACTTCATTATCACTACACCAATATATTTAATATTTTAAAAATATTTAATAATTTAATAATCGTGAAAAAAATAGTAAAAATTAGTGACATCGTTTGGTTAACTGATTAAACCAAAGAAAACCAAATACGTGGATCAGGGTGTTTCACACATGCTTCTATTTATCAATGATTTTTTATTAATAATACAAAAAATAAATTCAATAAATAAACATTAAGCTTAGCTTACAAAAGTAAATAAATAAAAAAATTATAACAATCATCAATCTTATTAAGTTTTAAGTTGTAAATTATCAATCTATGTATAGTATATAATTTTAATATTCAATAAGACAATTCAAAGTGTAAACATTTATTAAAGTTGTTGATAAATTAGTAAGGCTTTACTCTTTTAATCAAGTGATAAAGCAATTAAAGGTTCAAATATGATGATGCTACTTTAAATATGGAATAATTCCTAATTTCGTGAGTTAAGATTATGTATTTGACAAGAGTAAATTATCAAGAATTGACCTGATGGACAAATTAAATAATTATCAGTATTAATTATTGAACTATTATATTGTTTGACGCATATTTACATAAATATTAATGATAAAAAGGATATTACATAATTTTTTTAACTCATCACTTTATAAAACTTGCTTTCATTAGTAATTCTTTTATTTTTTATTTCATTTTTTTAAATATTTACATAATTTGTGGTTTTCTTCAAATAGTAGTGACATAAATTTAATTTTATCACCACATTAAATCATTTATAAGACGTACATTTTATTGTTTTAATCTTTTAAATATTTTTATTTGTTGTTGTGTTTTTGTTATTTAATAATATTTGGTTATCGATTCTGAAGATTCAATAATGTAAATAATAAATTTCTAGGTAATTAAAAAATGTATTACTTCTTTTTATTAATTTCGTTTGATTGGAAGAAATTTTCTTTCACCATATAATTTTTCATTTTGTTTTTGCTTTAAGAGTATTAACTTATTGATATAGTAAGTTTACTCAAATTTTTAAAGTGTTTTACTTTTTAATATTTATAAAAAGTAATATGAAATTTTACTTTAAAACATCAATAAATATATAAATATAGTAAAAACCCGCAATTATCTTCTTTCTATTAGTATCTGAAAAATATAAATTTTAAAAATATTTAAGAATAACATGATGAATGTATACTCTCTATTTATGTTGTTATATATCAATATGTTTTGAAAACATTTTAAAGTATTTTTTTCCAAAATAATGGACTTTTACGATTATGAAATTAAATGAGAAATATTTTATTGATACAAATTTAAATAGAAACAACTTTAAATATCTTTTAACAACTTGTTGTCTTTTGACTAGTGGTTCTACGTTCACTCTAATTATATACAGAACTATGGTCGAAGAAATAGCTCAAAAAATGTTTAAAAGTGGTAGGGAAAGTAAAATGTTAAGAAGTATTATTTTGAAATTAAGAAAATAAAAAATAAGAAATTGTATGCATAAAAGTAGGTATGCACATGGAATAAGTCAGTATACATTCGTCTATTATCTAACTTCTATGTTACCATGGATCTAAAAATATTGTTGTCATTCAAGGAGTTCCTTTTCGATTAATTTTAAATGAATTTATCAATAATTTAATTTCATCTTCAGTGGCATTAATCATCACTAGAAACAATGATGTGAATGTTTTCTTTACATGAACATTAGGTTAAAAGCATGGCATAAGTTTGTTCGGTAGTGTTTTCAAAAAGATACGACAAAAACTTGCTTCCATTCCGCGGTGTGGGACTTATGACCCGAAAACAAAATCTTCAATCATGGACAATAGTGAGCACATTATTTACTCAAGATTAAAATATTTTTTAGTTTATCATGACAAAATCCACATTATTATTTTTATGAATATAGTTGACCCTTATCATAAAATTTTACACCAGAATAATCTAACTCAATTGAGAAGTAAATAAAATTATTAAGCATCAAATTCTGACACATTCGGACAATGCAGGCACTATGATTTATCAGCTTATCCGGTTCACATGTGGAGCATATGCCCAAACTACGGAACATAAAGTTTTCAAGAAAAAACGACATCAATATTGAATCAAAGACTAAAATGAAAAAAAAAAACTAGAAAATTTCTAACTGTAACATGCGTGCTTGCTGATACTTACTCCGCGAAAATTAACATTAATTTCAGGTTGTAAGGATGGTGCTGCTGAATAAACTCATGTAAAGGAAGTTTTGATCTATAAATATAATTATTACGTGTTTCTTTTTTTTTTTTGAATGTGTGTAGTGAATAGGATTGAGTCTTATTGATCACGTCAGTGTAACATTTAAAGTTCTTCTCTGTCCCAACGCTCGCTCTGTTTCACCTCCTTTCGTCTTGGAGACTCAACCTCCTCCTTCTTCCTATCCACTACTGTTCATCTTCAGCTCCAACTTCAAAGGTAATTCTTTTACTTCAAAGTTTGAAACTGTATTCATCAACCACTCACTTGTTTACTTGCAGCACAAGGGTCACTCATCATCACTTCTTCTATTTTGGATTACTTCTGCTGCAGTTTGATCATACCCCCTTTTAAAATTTATGTTTAGGGGTGTGAGGTTTATTCTTCTTACAAATTCATGCCTCTTAACTGGGTTTGATGCAAAAATCTCAAGTTATTATTCTCTGAAGTAGAAGAGGGTGCTTTTAATCTTGGTATCTTTCTTTTGGGTCCATTGAATGCAAATATTAAAGATTGTGAGTTGAAATATGGTTCTCGGTAATTACACACCACTTCAGGTCCATATAGTTATATTTTTCAATTGAGTTATATTTGAATCATTGATCATCAAAACCATATGATTGTGGTTCCATTAGGAATTGCGTGTACGTAACCCTTTCTCTGGTTATAAAGACCGAAGCACCCTCATTGGAATATTCTTCCCCCCTGTTTACTTTCGTACATGGTTATCCCGCTTTCTAAGTTTTGTTCACACAGATATAATATGATGTTTTCCTACTCTACTTCCTTCCAATCCAATTGAAGGACGGTTTGAGACAAATTGAGTAATTTAGGAAAAACCAAATGATGCTCTTGACAGAACCTGTTGTCGGAGCTAAGTTCAAGGTCCTATTGATAGTGTTATAGTCATTGTTGGGCATAACTTTCAAACTCATATTTTTCTCTTGGTCAAATAGATATCAAGAAAGCTAAACAAAAGAGAGGACATCTGCTATATCGAGCTACAATGGCAGGGTTAAATTTTGGGGCCACATATACTGACAACCATGATATTCTGAAGATACTTGAAGCTGAAGGTGTTGAGTTCCTTTTATCTTCTGAAGGAAAGGTAGTTTAGATTCTGCAGAACCTCTCCTTCTATTAGTTGGGTGTTTTGATTAGACAATAAGCTAGTTAATGAATTCAACTTGAGATCAACCGATGCTTTAAGTATTTTAACTTCAAGACTCCTCAAATGGTTCCCTTTTGTTTTCTCCAAGTAAATAAAAGGGTAAAATGCGACCTAAGGACACAGATTGCATCATTTGATTGGTTTTTTTACTTCTGTTTGTAGCTAATGATTGCTATCTTTAAATCATGAGATTAGGTACCTGTGTCAGAATGCAATGGGAAAGTCATCTGCCTATTTTTCAGTGCAAACTGGTGCAGGCCTTGCAGAGCTTTCACTCCCCATCTTCTTGAACTTTATGAAACACTGAGAAAGAGGGGAAAGAATCTGGAGATCATCTTCATCTCCTTTGACCGTGATGAGGATGGATTTAAAGAGCACTTCAAGAGCATGCCATGGCTAGCTGTCCCATTTGATGTAACTTTGCACAGAAGACTGATTGACAGATACAGAGTTGATCGAATCCCATCATTCATTCCATTATGTTCAGATGCCATAACTGTTGAAGAAGACTTGATTGGCTGCATTGAGGATTATGGTGCTGATGCATTTCCTTTCACTAGGAAGAGACACGAGGAACTGAAAGCCATGGATAAAAGGAAGCGTGAGGAAGCAAACTCGGAAGAATTACTGGGACATGAAGAACGCCACTTTCTCATCTCTGGAGATGATAGAAAGGTAGTCCTATTTAGATCAGTTTTCCCATAAACCAGCAGAAGAAAGAAAGAAGGAAAATTGAAAAAGAAATTCTTCATAACTTAAAGTTAACTTACACAATTTAAGTTTAACTTGAGAAACTTTCATTTTTCCTTCTTTTATTCTTCTCTCATCAGTGTTTATAGAAATTTTTATATAGTAGCTGCAGAAGTATGCCATTCACAAGTCTTTTTGTTGCAGGTGCCCATATCTGAAGTAGTTGGTAAAACCATAGGCTTGTATTTTTGTGCCTACTGGTCTCCTCCTTGCTCTGCCTTCACTGTCCAACTTAGAGATGCATACAACAAACTCAAGGCTGCAAAAGGAGACTGCTTTGAGATTGTTTTAATATCAACAGATAGGGACCTTGAAGAATTCAATGTCAACAAAAGTAGTATGCCATGGCTTGCTGTTCCATATGAGGACAGGACAAGGCATGATCTTAGAAGAATCTTCAATATAAAGGGCATTCCTGCTTTGGTTTTCATTGGAGCTGATGGCAAAGTAATCAGTGTGAATGGCAAGTTTATGGTCTCTTCATATGGGGCAGAAGCTTTTCCCTTTACCGAATCACGGATAAGAGACCTAGAAGCAGCTCTGAGAAAGGAAGGAGAGGCTCTGCCAAAGCAGGTTGAGGATGTCAAGCATGAACATGTGCTGAAATTGGATATGGCCAAAGCATATGTATGTGATTCCTGTAGAAAGCAAGGGAAGTTCTGGACATTTTCTTGTGATGTTTGTGACTATGACCTGCATCCAAGTTGTCTAGAAAAGGCCAACTAGAACTACAGCTTATAGAGCATAGAAAAACGTAAGTTTGGAACAATTATGGTTGTTTCTGTCGTGATGGAAAGAATGTTGTAATACCTAAGAAATTTGAACACTGAATATATTTTCATTCTTATCAGTACGTTGACAAAACCTGCCATTTGAAATTAAGAGTGATTTAAATCAGATTAGTTTTGTAAGTAAGATAAAGTTCTGAATAGAATTACTAAGTTTAAGAAAGTGTGGGCAACTGTTTACAGAATGTACTGCTTTTACTTGCAGGTTGTCTGTATCATGATTTTGATACAACTTTATACATACCCTGTTGGTGAAAAACAAATGTAAAAATAATCAAATATTCTGTTCAATACTCCAACTCTTAATTTTTATTTATGACTTTTAATATGATAATAATGACTGTAATTATTCATCAATATAATATATATTAACATAATTATAAGTTATAGGTTATTTTTATATGTATTTTTTTTACGTCCCTTTTGTATTTAAATATATAATCAATGTAAAACACATAATTCAATACTTTTTTTTTATCTTCTTGGAAGTGAAAATGTGTGCAGGTATTCAAGTTAATTAGAATGTATTCAAAGTGTTGATGACTCATACAGTTAGTTATTCATACAAAGATGTCAATATGCTTTTTGTGTAATCCACTCCAAGGAAAAAAAATCAGGTTAAACAACCATATTATCAATATAATTTAAACTTTTTTCTTATTTTTAATTATATCAAATAGGATTTAATTCATTTTCATTTTTTTTCTAATTTTTCTCATGTTTTGGTTCTTATTAAAATCTATTTTATTTTAGTCACTGATATTATGTTTCAGTTCTTACTAAAGCACAACTTTTTTTATATAGATCTCTTTTCCATCAGAAAGTTTTCATCTTAGTCTGATATTTAAGAAATATCAGGATCTATTGTCAATCAAAAAGGCATGGCATGTCATCATTTAGAGGGACAAGGATTAAAATAAAAATATAAAAACTAAAAATTATTAAAGTTTGAATAAAATAATAGACATGAATTGAGAACATTAAGCAATGTAGAGTTATATTTTACTTTATAAAAGTAATAGTAAGAGGACAAAACTAACAAATAAAAATATATAAACATAGTGAATCTAGATCAAATAACTTTATATTTGTAATTTCTTTACTGATTTAAATAAACTAAATCCACCATAGTGAAACATTAATGATAAAATTTAGATGTCAGTTTACGTTTTTTATAACCATTTAATTCCCTTCTGTGTTTGTACGATGACATTAAAATATGATTAATGGGAGCTGTTACTGACTATATATGATTTAGTAAGCAGATTTCATTCCCAAAAGGACGAAGTCAAAGTTAACCCGCAAATTTTGGTCATTCTTTGATGGGATAAACAACATCACAGAATAGAACAATGTGTGTGGTTCTTACATCTTAGAAAAAGAAGCCTAAAATAGTTAAATAAATCCCAGATTGGCTGCTACAGACATACAAGGGATCGGTTAGTTATTACTATTCTTTTTGTCGTTTAAGGTTTTGAACATCAAAAGAGAATCAGGAACAACAATCTAACAAAGTAAACGAATTAAACAAATACCTCAAGTCCTATGTTATTCAAGAGTATCATGTGATCCTATATATTTTTCATCAAAGCAAGTAGAGGAATTTCTGGGTGCAACTTAACCAAACCAACCACAGATTAGGAAACATCATCAAAAGGCTTAAAAGGAAGGATCTTTAGATGATGCCTTTGAAAGGAAGAGAAGAAAAAACATTTTGGCCTTGAGGGTCCCTTTAGTTTGGTATTTGGCTGATTGAAGGAGCAGAATAAGATTGCAGTGAAAGAAAGTAATGTGGTTGCCAAAGCATCGATCAGATAAAAAGGATGGTGTGAGTGGATTAGTAGCAGTGGCAATTGATAAAAAGAAAGAGAGCCAATCTGCACTCAAATGGGCAGTTGACAATCTCCTCACCAGAAGTGCAACAGTAATTCTCATCCATGTCAAGCTTCTCGCACCAACCCTCTCTCCATCACCTTCTCTTTTCGCCCCTAGTAAGTACCCTACAATGGAATTGCCATTGCTATTAACCATAGCTTCAAACATCATTGTCTCTGCACAACATTTCTGCATGTTCAGTGATTGGTTTTTGTTGAGTAAATTTTGGAAAAACAGATTTTCTTCTTCACTGGTAAATAATCTAGTACATAGCACAATTTATTTCAATTTGAATGAGTTTTATGACAGTTAATGTCACTTTTTTTTCATAAAAGTAAAATTAAACAGATCTCAATTTCTATTATGAATTTATGAAAGTTTAGAGTAACGTGTGAAATACACACACATATATGTGTGTGTGCAAAGGAAAGTTTTTCAGCAGCAATGGGAACAATGGCGACATGATTGATTCCTCGTTTGGTTTATTACCTTGGCAGGGATAAGTTCTTTCCTGGGTGATGATACTTCAGTGGTAAGCAAAGAACACGAAGGCCAAAACAGAAGTGTTTTCCTCCCATATCGTGTCTTCTGTACAAGAAAAGATGTGAGTTGTTTTTCCTTTCAAGATGAATGTTTCTGGAAATGAAAGCAGCTATCTTGCTGATGGTGTTCATCTTAGAATTCTTATAATCTCTTTTGTTTTGTTTCTTGGTGTGGTGTGGTGGATGGGCCATAGATTCAATGCAAGGATGTCCTACTAGAAGATTCAGAAGTACCCAGAGCTATAATTGAATATGCTTCTCAGACAGGAGTTGAGCATCTGGTTCTTGGCTCTTCAGCAAAAACTAGTTTTCTCAAGTATGCTACTTTCTAACTCACGTTGTCATCTTGCAAATTTTACATCAAGTTTCTAGTCATCTTCCTTTCATTCAGATAAAACACGATATAGTCAAAATGCAGAGTTTGGAAATGTGATTACAATTGCTTAAGACTTATCCTGTCTAGCATAGAGTCACTTGCCCTTATGAATACGTATTGTTAAAATAGAAACCTGAAACTCTCGCTTGGATGTGTCAGTATGTATTCGATTTCTTAAAGAATGTTTTTTTCTCATCAGAAGATTCAAGGTGTCAGATATTCCAGGAGAAATTGCAAAAGGGGCGCCAGATTTCTGTACTGTCTATGTTATTGCGAAAGGAAAGATTCAAACTATGCGATCTGCTACTCGTCCTGCACCTGCCATTTTCTCTAACCAGGTCTGTCAAATTAACAATGGCAGGTCAAACCTTTCAGAGCCAAATGTGTACTCATCTCGAAGCATAAGAGGTTAGATTCATCCTTTCAAGAACCACACATCTATGTCCCTAAACATATTGTGAAATGTGCTGCTCACTGAAAAAGTTGGTTTCTATCAGAGCAAGAAACGTATTCCTTTGATGCTGGATCACAGTATGATGAAACATTCAGGTCAGTGACATTACATAATACATACTACTTAGCATTTGTTTTAGCATATGAAGACTAAATCTATTGGAAACAGGTCACCATTTACTAGGAAACGTTACAATGGCAGACAATATGGAGACACTCCCAATTTAGATACGGACATATCCTTTGTAAGCTCTGGAAGGAGAAGCACAGAACGTTTGATCCCTTCATTGAACTTAGATACAGGAATATCCAACAGTCGGCTATCATATAGCTCAGACATAGATGCAAACTTCAGCTTTGAGTCAGCGTCTTATCGAAGGAAGTCTACGGAAATGGGCTCTCCTCTTGAATTATCATCATTCTCATTTGAGAGTGATAAGCAATCATCTTGTTCGTCACAAACAGCGGTAAGGAAAGTTCGCAGTGCTGTAGAGATCTGTTTGGTCTGAGAAAACAGTTTTCTTATGTTTTATTACTTACTAAAAAGAATCTCATCTTGTTTTCACTTTGTTTAGTTAAAACTGGATTTTTGTTTTTATTATGTAAGTCTTTGAAAATGGAAAAACAGGTAAAGTAAGTAGTATCTTTGTAGTTATTTACAAAGCCAGATTCTCATAGCAAAGGTATCCTGCATTTGTATTTTTTGGCTTGCTTGAACATGTTATAACAGTTCCTGCACTGATAAGGAGTTGAAGAGAATTCCATAGCTTAGGCCCATTTTTGTAAAAAAGAATAAGATTTTTTAAATTGTTGAAGTTGTGGCAATTGTAGGATGACATGGAAGCTGAAATGAGAAGATTGAAGTTGGAGCTGAAGCAGACCATGAAAATGTATAACACGGCTTGTAAAGAAGCACTCACAGCACAACAGAAGGTGTGAATATATATTGTGTATATATATATATATATATGGTTTGTGTTTAGAATTTATTTTTCATGCACTGGTTATCACAACATTAACCAATTAGAAATCACTTGATGTATACAGTCTTACTAGAACATGAGAATCTATGGATGAATGACAGTGTAAAAAATCTTTACATGAGTACTTTTGAATTATATAATTGTGTTTTTCCCTGGAAAAGTTCAATAATGTGTGATTAATGGCATGCATGGTTGACAGGCAGTGGAACTTCAGCGGTGGAAAATGGAGGAAGAGAGGAGATTGGAAGAAGCGAGGCTGGCTGAGGAAGCAGCACTGGCAATTGCAGAAAAGGAGAAAGCCAAGTCTAAAGCAGCCATTGAGGCTGCCGAAGCACAAAAAAGGATTGCAGAACTGGAGGCACAGAAGAGACTCAGTGCAGAAATGAAAGCACTTAAAGAATCAGAAGAGAAAAGAAAAGTGCTTGAATCTTTGGTAAATGTAGATGTCAGGTATAGAAAATACACTATTGAGGAGATTGAAGAAGCAACAAATTTTTTTTCTGAATCCCTTAAAATTGGAGAAGGAGGATATGGTCCTGTTTTCAAGTGCCTTTTGGATCACACCCCTGTTGCAGTCAAGGTTCTACGCCCTGATGCACAACAAGGAAGATCACAGTTTCAGCGAGAGGTAAACAAGCATAGAAACAAAACACTACATTTGAACACAACAAATTCAACTCAATGATCAGAGATTTTGCTTTCTTTAGGTTTTACTTGGTTTCAGAAAATGTTCTATATTTTCATTTTTGTTTTTGCAAGACATCTTTGTTTTCAACTTTCAAAGATTTGCATACAGTGTAAAACTTTTAAGCTAACAAACAATCAAAATCATCCTCTATTTGACTTGTAACTCATTCCTTACAAAATTCAATCATCAAACAAGGCAATTTATGAGTGGATGAAAGTTTTGTTTTATCGATAATGTTACTTGTTAGTATTTGTTAGTAGGGAGAGTTAATCGACAACCTTTTCCACTTTTCTTCCAAACCTGTCAAACCAGTCTTATATTTTCCAAGTATTAGTAGCAAGAGTTGAAACCACAACCTCTCTCACTTTCCTTTCCAATTTTACCACTAAGTCAATCTTATATCTCCTGGATTACAGGTTAAACTATACATATTTTTGTTATTATATGTGAAAACAAAGCTATTTCTTAAACCATGTAATGCACATTACAGGTTGAGGTATTGAGCTGCATACGGCATCCACACATGGTTCTACTCCTAGGAGCATGTCCAGAATATGGATGTCTAGTGTATGAGTATATGGCAAATGGTAGCTTGGAAGATCGCCTCTTTCGACAAGGCAACACTCCCCCACTGCCTTGGCAGCTAAGATTCAAGATAGCAGCTGAGATTGGCACAGGCTTGCTGTTCCTGCACCAGACAAAACCAGAACCTCTGGTGCACAGGGACTTGAAACCAGCCAACATCTTGCTTGACAGAAACTTTGTGTCCAAAATCAGTGATGTAGGTTTGGCCAGGCTAGTTCCACCATCTGTGGCAGACTCTGTCACGCAGTATCACATGACATCCGCAGCCGGAACCTTCTGCTACATAGATCCTGAGTACCAGCAGACAGGAATGTTAGGAGTGAAATCAGACATATACTCCCTTGGGATAATCTTTTTACAAATTTTAACAGCAAAATCACCTATGGGTTTGACCCATCATGTTGCAAGGGCCATTGAGAAAGGAACTTTATCTGAGATGTTGGATCCATCACTCTCTGATTGGCCACAAGAGGAGGCCTTGACGTTTGCCAAGTTGGGAGTGCAGTGTGCTGAATTAAGGCGCAGAGACAGACCCGATCTTGGCAAGGTTGTCCTACCAGAACTCGACAGACTCAGAAACCTTGCTGAAGATACTGACCTTATTTCAGCTTTGGGTAACCCTACGAATATGCCCCGAGACAGACATGTTTCAGCTGTACTGGTAAGTTTCTCTGTTTTTATCATACAAGTAAGTTAATACTAAAACAAAGCACACATAAAAACTAAGTTGTTGAACTCATAATTAACCAAGAATCAAGAATGTGAAATGGGAAAGTTACCTCTTCTTGTGAAGAGGATGTTACATATGCATCATGCTAACATGAAAAGTTGTGCCTGCTTTTTTATTTTGCCAGGAAGGAGATTGTCCTCCATTTCCTAACCCTGTCTCAGGGGAAATTAGAGCTAACAATTCAGTGACTTTCTGACAAGTGAAAACAACGATCGAACCAAACAAGAAAATATGTTGTATGGATTCATGTCCAGGAGAAAGTGTAAATTGCCTAGGTGGTTGTAAATTGAACCAAAAGAGTAGCATATTTTTGAGCTACAGTTTCACTATTTTGCAGAAATGTAATAGGTTGTGTCCATACAGTTTTGAACAAAACGAAGTTAATTCATGTATAGAAATTGTAACTATATTTTCACGATTCCAAGCCATGTTGTAAACCGGGCTTTCTTCCTGTAACTTCTTGACTCTTCGGAGAGTTTTAGAAGTAGTTATCCAAAAACTTGAGAGGAACACGTTGTGGGAATTAATGTATTATCCACATATTCATGTTAATAATTTTGCCACATATATACATTTTTCTTTCGTTGCTCCGTGTTTCGTTTTAATATAATTAACTTCAGCTTGACTTTTAGAAATACAATGTTTAAAGTAATTGTTAATACTTTTCAATTGTTACAGTTAATAATGTGAATTTACATTGAAAATTTATTTAGATTTAATTCAATAGCAAACTCTAGATCGTGGAATTGGGAGAAAGTAATGACTCATAACTGATGATATGATATAAACCAAGTATGTATTTAGATTAATTAGTTTAAAGAGAAAAAAAAATTACTTTGACAATTGTACGAAAAATCAAACAAAAAATTTAGGCTGGTTCGGTTCGCAAACGCAACGGTCATGGGCTGAGATTCCATGAAGAAATACCAAAGACATTCCCACCTCAATTAATCGTTTAACATTTTTCGTTCAATATATTATTTTGATTTTTTTTTATTATTATTACATATTTTTGGGTAGGGTAAACATTATGAACAAAGCAACAGAAAATATATAGAGCGGTAGAGAGAAAAATGAGTCCGTCAAAAGCAGAAACTATGGCTAACTTTAACTCACGTAATGTTTGTTTATGAGTGGTCATTTTATTAATAATTTTTAGGTCAAAGCAATAGAAGCCTTTTATCAACACTGTATGTTGTGTGTAGAGTAGGATAAAAATGGAGAAATAGAATGTGTTTGTCATCTTATCTCTTTTCTTGTGCTTGCAAACACTGTTACTGTTCAAATCAGTTATTCACTATTTTATTCTCCACTTTACTAAGCCAAAGGTAAATAATACTTTGTTTTTTAACAGATTATGTTTCTCGCATCTTGCCTTTGATAATTGCTTGTGTTTTTCATAGTTGTCTATATGTTGGTTTTCTTTGTTTTCAAATGCATCTAATGTTATACAATGAGTTAAGGTTAAAATAACGTTTTTTTCATTATGGTATAACGATCTCCCTTCCTTCCATCTAAGACCCAACAAGTCAATTTTTTGTTTCAATTTCTTTCCTATTATTTCTTTTAAACTAAACTATCCAAAATTATCCTATTTTTTTATTATCTATTTTCCCTTATTTTTATCTGGCACTAATTTTCTTCTGTAGTATCAAACAAAACGCAAATTACTGGCCTAAATTTCATTCCCCAAAGTTGAGGAAAATTTATATTGTGGTTTTGAACCACTACGTTTTATGCCTTATCCAGTCTATACGTGACAGGAACTAAATATCACTAATTATTTTATCCTAAAAGTAAACCACTACTGAACGGAGAAATTTTTCGTAAAGTAATAGTAATTTAATTTCACAGGTGGCTTCATATCCTATTAGCCCCCTAAAAGGGTAACTGGCAATTGACCAAAAAAGGGTTAGTTCGCAAAAACATTTAGAAAATATGAACCATCAAAAGAAAAATCAAGGTATTTTGAATGCGGCAGTGTGACAGGGATTAAAGTTGATAAATCAAGACCATAATTGATTTTCCGAGAAAATATCACGGCTGATGTAACGCGTCTGTAAGTATTCTGCCGTTCACGAGGCACGAAAGGAAAACAAAAGGCATAGAATTATTAACATGATCTTGAGTCGATACTTATAATACACAATAACAAATTAAAACTACCCAAACATAAAATTCGCTTCTCTTTCTAGCAAAACATAGATCCCTTTTTCTGAGTCATAAAATCCTCGTTAGATCAAACAATACAAATTACAACACGACGTAAAAACTAAGTAAATATCAAGCCACAATACCTCCAATAGAAAAAGCCCAGTATGAAAAGGACATGCTGTGGGGAACCAAAGAGAAATGTGATGGCACATCAAAGTCCCCCAGAAGATGATAAAGCAACTGTGAATCTGCACAAGCCCAAGCGTCAACGATAGTACATAAGCTGCTGTCTTGATGAATTACCGGTATATCCATCATACATGGCTTGAGATCCCCCAGAGTTTACGCCCATTGAAGCAGGAGCTAGGCCGTGTTGTCCGGTCATTTGTAGAAGAGCTTGACCTGAAAGACCAGATACAGCAGCCTGACTCAAGGCCAGTTGGCGCTGATAAGCCAACAACTCAGCAGGAGAATAACCTTGGTTCATCCCTGCAGTCGGAAGTATTTGATATGGTTGAGCAGGAGGAGGTAGTGGATTCGAAGCTGTTCCAGGAGGAGTTGGTTTACTACCCCACGAACACTGCACAAATCAAGTAAAATAATTTTTACTCGTCCATAAATAATGAATGCATACGCTCCAGCCTTCAAAATTAGGCAACGGTAGAAAGAGCCTGAATTTAAGTGTTATTATACTTAGAGGTGCATCACAACCACGAAATAACATTTATATTCCAAAAGTATTTTAACTTTCCAACGATATTAAATTGGGTCCATCAGTCCGTAACAGGCATGGAAGAATGCTGTAAAAACATGGCCTCCTTCCCATGATGTAAATCAGCGCCTCAGGGAAGGGACAAAGGTAAGGGTACGGCTAGGTGCAAGCATGTCTCTTTACATGCGAGTACTGAGTAACACGATCTCGGCTATTGGAAAGGGGGGAAAACATTCGCATGGGCATATTACTTTATGGGCAACCACCAGACCAAAGAAGAAATGGCAATTAAATTAGTTGACCAGATAAGCGAAATAATTCTCACCTTCATACTCTTCCCACGGATTATTCTTCCATTAGCCACCTGAATGGCCAAGGCAGCTTCATCGTGAGTGTTGTATCTAACAAATCCAAAACCCTTATCCCTTTGAACTCGAACCTCCTCAATTACCCCAGCCCCCAGTGCATGGAATTGGCAATGGAGTTCAGCTTGTGTTACCTGTTACCCTCAAACCACGTGTAAGAATCGTGTAAACGGAACAGTTCATTATTTGTAATAAATTGCAAGACTGACATTCAGATCAATCAATACGGAGAAATGCTGTCACAGATTTGACACATTCAACGACAAGTAGATGCTAGGAAGGAGGACTAAATGTTGGAAAAAGGTTTTAATAAATTAAGACAATTTATTTTCAACCAGGATTTTGAATTATGGACTGCATCAGACGAAGAAGCAACAATAATACGGTTGCAAGGAGCTCTGCAACCATGTGACGCACAACAAATGCCTTCACCATATTTGCAGTTCCCCACAAATCAACGGGGATGCCCCTCTTTCACTTCGAGAACAGATCCAAACCAAGAGGCAGCAGATAAGACTCAATGATGAAACAGATTGACAACGTTGTGAATAAACCACAAACCACGACAGATAATTGCTCCCCAGATGTAAAGACACGTTTTTTTTTTACAGGATTTGCAGTACCAATCTATGGTGGAGGTAAATTGACACTCTAAGAAACCTGGGTCACTATTGCCAATGCCAAATTCATAAACACATTTGAGAAGTTATAAGAAATATCATAACACATGGATCGAAAACTAGAACAAAATTATGCACGAATTTTGAATACAATAATTTAAGTTCAAGTCAATAAATTCTTGAAAGGCCAACATGTCTGTCCTTTAAGTACATGTAAGTCATTAAGTTGGAAAGCCTGAAATGGGAACTAACTTATACATCTTATGGCATTTTTCTGGCACTTTAAACAAGGGTGATTCAGATATACATCACTGTAAAATATGCACCCCTCAGCAATTCATCCAAAACTATGTTTAAAGCTAATTCTAGTAAGCCAGATCAATCTAGAAATACCTAAATATTTTTCCATATTCGTGAATAAAGAAATTAAACAAAGTTTTTGTTCTTACAATGTGAAAATAATAACGACATAATATTTCATTCTTCAATCCACATAACTTACATCATGAGGAAGGTTGCCAACATAAACTGTGGTGTATAAAGAATTGTTTTCGGGAGCATCTTCGTTATTATTATTATCTTGACCACCATCTGTAAAACACATCAGAAAAAATGAATTATAAGTATCTGTCACTGTCAACAATTCTAAAATTCCATGGTGGTTTCCAGAAGCACGCAGGAAATAGATGAGCAAATTTAGTTACACAAGTGCATAGGAAACGGAGAAGCAAATGCAACAATTACTTCACTGAGATTTCAAATTAGAAATAGTTCTAGGCAGCAAAAACATTTTAGTAACTATAAAAATAAAAATGGAAAGATTATATAGTAGTGGATAACAAACTTCGCTAAATGCTCACCATGCAAAAGCACAACATTTATCCAATACAAACTAAAATAACCATGCTATTTGTGTCTACTTAAGTTACTTTTTGAGACCCAAGTATGCATCAAAACTGGTGCCCAACAAATCAAACACTTAAAAGTGCAGCTTCGTTGGTGTCTATAGCAACTATGAAATTTAAGTCTAACTCAGTTTCAATAAACTGCTCAATGTAGGATCTCAAACACACCCTTCACACCAAGGATTAGCGTGAGACTATATATTTGTAGATGATCTAATAATGGCCTAATAGGGGATGACCAAATAATTCCAACAAACTTTAAGATAGACTTTTACACAATCTAAGAAAGTGAACTCTAAAGGTAACTCAATCTTACAAAACTAACATACAAATTGAGGTATCAATCCACTTATATACTATAATTTAATAATATCTTTAGGCATTGTGGATCTCCAACCTAAACCACCAAAATATACATGCTACTCTGATCGGTGAGTTACATCATTCCATTATATTTTCAATCAGTATGGCGTCATTCAGCACAATCAATAACACATACCAGACAAAAACATAGCATGAACTGTAGAAGGAAAAAGAAAAGTAAACTTAAGTCTTCATCTATATTTTTCATGGTTTCGGGAATATAGGCTCAGGTGCTTCTATCTAGAAAGGTACACGATACCTGAAGATCCATTTGTAAGCACAACAGCATTTTGGTTTTCATTGCTCTTCTCTTCATTGGAGCTGGTACCAGCACCCTTAGTTGCCCAGTTGCATCGTATTTGCCTATTTCCCAGCCACTTGCCTACATGATAAAGGAAATACCACAAGTTGGTATGAACAAAAAACATGACACAGAAGCAGGGAACAAAGGTATACAACTGAATGCCAAACCTGTCATATCATTTATGGCACTTTGGGCATCCTGCATATATAAAATGCATAAAGAGGCATCATTTCATCAATTCAACACATAATTAACATAGTTACACCAAACTAATTTTTTGTTAGGTTTAACTTGGAAGATATTCTAAAAAAGTTCATACTCACATCCAGCAAAAACACAATAAATAAAATTTGTATGGCACTTGAAATGAAGTTGAGATCTGGAGATATTGACTGTTCTGTTCCCGTTTAATTTACAAGGAAAACAATTTAATGATCTTTTTACAACACATGTATATTTAGTCCAGTTTATTTGGAAAATGATTATTCTTTTTTGTGGCTCCATAAAAAGCTTTTAACTTTTTCCCCTTTCAGGATGGTTCATTGGTTGATATCTTCATTACCTGATGATCACGGAAAGAAACAAAACCATATCCTTTTGATCGACCAGTTTTGTGATCCCACATAACCCTTGCATCACTGCAAATAATGAGAGAAGATGGAAAAGTAAATTCCAGAAACCAAAACACCTTTCAAGGCTGAGTAACTTGTTGAAAAGTTCCCCCCAGTTAACTATCTTCAACGTTTCACCACTAATAAGGACTACAACAGTCACAATAAAAATAGAATATACCTTGCTCCAATGACCAAAAAATTCACAATGAAGAAAAAAACAAAAAAGCAATGAGGAACTCACGAACAACTAGGATAGACTGAGAAGCAAGCAAATAAAGTTGCATCAGTAACCTCTGGACTCAAATCACCGACAAATATATTGAAGTGCCCTGATGATTTTAAACTAAAATTAAAGGAATATACAATCGAAAAGAAAAAAGAAAAAGAATGCCCCCAAGAAGCAAAATAATTGAAATCACAAAACCATATGAACTGTTCTTAAAATTAACCTGATGTGTCCTCCCTACTGCTATTTGCATATGCCCAATTCACCTTGAGTGCTTGACCATATCTGCAAACAGAAATAAAAAGAAAAAATCATGCAAAGTAGCTACATATTAAAGTGAACTCTGAGAAACCTGCCAGGACTCAAGATTGTCCAATTAGAACATCTTCGAGCCATGAAAATATTATGCAATGCCATGTATAAAAGTAAATAATTGGTCTATCAGTAAAAAAAGAATATAGAAGTGAAAACGATAACGATTCCTCTATCTCCAGAAAATAAAGATGGAGAATTTATTCACAGTTCACAAACAAAAATGCTTACAGTTGTCGTCCATGCAATGTCATTATTGCAAGGGCCGCAGATGCTCGATCATGGTAGTCCACAAAACCATAAGAGGACTGTAACATCAATTACACAGTAAGAAAAGGCCAAAAAAATAATTAAAAATCAAGATTGTAGGAAACACTCAAACCTATAATTTTGTTAGTAAAGGCCAGAATCACCAAACAAATTGTGTACTGAAATGCAATTATCTTTCCATAATTCCTAGAAAACATAACACCTTTGTAGAATAAAGATTTCAAAACGAGTCCCATTAGAGAAGTTCAGAGTAAAGTAATTATATACTCTAAATTCTAATGCCAACCAGGTTTTTAAAAAAATAAAATACAAGCTTGCTCATCAGTACTAATAATCAACATATTCATAATATTAAGGAAACATAGGAAAAATAACAGGGTTTTCTAGTTTTGCGAGAAGGCCTGTTAAAAGAGGTCATTTACAAGCACAACAATAATAATAATAGCATCAATGGTCACCAACAAAGAAAATAGAGTTGAATATTGAATCAAAAACCTTTTCTTTTCTTATGAGCTTGCAGCCAGCAAGAGGACCAGCACTCTGAAAAACTTCTGCGAGAAGTTTATCAGTGACATTTACATGAATATTTCCTACATAACTGAAAGAACATAGCTTCAGATCAATAAGGTGTCAAAGAGGACAACTATACTAATTCTAGTGCAGTGATTATTTAATATGACATTGAACTTCAGTAGCATCAAATTTATCTCTCAGAAATTCAGGTGAGATAAGAACGCCATTTTTTCAAAAACAAAATATATCTACAGCTGTTAGAATTTGGTTAAAATGAAAATTCTCATACTTGAGCACAAACATGAAACTATGGACAAAAATCAGCTAAAATATGAAAGAAATAAAACACTCACACGCTACGGCATGCAGAAGTATCAAAACCAGGAGGCAAATTTCCACTTGGAACAGGCTCCATCTGCAAAGTTTACAAAACAACAAATAATAAAAAAAACGGACAAAAAGAAAGAAGGTCCAAACAACTATATACAGACAGAAACCTTGAAGAGAATCAAATAGAGAAAAATACAGTACAATATTTAGACACGGCAAAGGACTGAGCTATTTGTCATATACTTCTAACAAATCAGATAGTAAATCAACCAAATGCATAAAACAATTTTAATTCATAACATAATCGTCAAAAACTATTCTGCAACAGTTCCTCCATTAAATAAGACAACTATGATATGCTTCATAGGTACACAGGTTATAAATTCTTGACATATTCCAGTTGACTTCGACCTAACATTTTGGCAATCATTGACATATTGAAGAGCTAAAAGTTTGGGAGCAAAATAATTGCAAATCACAAATACATATAACTCACTAGTCGGCACTCCGTAATAGAACCAACAATTAAATCATATCAAGTCGACAATTCAGAATAATTTAAACGACAACAATAGACCACAGCAGCAGCAATTTTCTTGACAACGAAAACTAGATGAAAATGAACCAAATAAAATCGAAGCAAACAACGGGATTTTCATTTATGAATAATCATTCCTGTGGAGAGAATAAGAAAACAGTAACGCGGGAATCAATTGTACCCTACACGACTGTGAAGTGGCCTAAAATTAAACTACCCTAATTACGTGAATTAAATGTTTTCTTTTAATCCCCAAGCCCTATTTTCTTTCTCTACGGAAATGGAACAGCACAGCAAATGCAATTGGCGTCCGATGCACAAATTCGATAGGGAAATTCAGAATTAATTGAAAAACAAAAAACAAAGAAAAAAGGAAAAAATAAAATGGAGGGAAAAACTAACCTGAGACATGGCAGCGGCGAGCATGCCAGGGTGGTACATCTGCTGCTGCTGAAGCAAGGCTTGCTGCATGAGGGCTTGTTGTTGCTGCAACTTCAGCCTCTGTTGCATATCTTAACTCCGCGATTCAGATAGATTGTTCCTGAGAAGAGAAAAAACGCATAATTGTCCGCAACTATTTCGTAATAATTGGAAAAAACCAAAAAAATAATCGTAACATAATCTAATAATAATGGTGAAATCGGTGATTGAAATCTGAGGCGCGTGAGGGAAAGATTGAAAAGGGGAAGCTGTTTTGATATTTTTCTGACCGTGATTCGGAGAGACGGAAGAAGAAGAAGAAGACAAGGCGGTGAATGGTGAATGGTGAATGGTCCCAACGCAATTGGTGTTTTTGGTTTTGGTTTTTGGTTTTTGGATTTTGGATTTTGATTTCGCACTCTCTCGATCAATTCTCCAACCTCATTCCGCCAATCTCATAACCATGTCCATCCACTTCCACTGTATTTTAACCCGGATCGCCTTACCCAACTCAACCGGGTAAACCCGTTTACTTTTACCTGTAATTTATGGCAATTACAAATTCATCCCACTTGATTGTTTTAATATATTAATTAATTTTATATAAGATAAGTTTTATTACTAACTAATTTTGTTTTTTTAAGGAATCTGATTGATTTTTTTTAGTTTCTTTTTTTTTTATGATCACTAAATCCTATTTTCATGTTCCATATCTAGTCAACAACCATGTATTGTTTGATTGGTTGTATTTGAATTTGAGTCGCTGATATTTTTAATCAATTTTTAAGCCCTATAAAGTAAAATTTGTTAATTAATTAGGATGGTGAGTGCTTATTTGGATAATAAGTTTTTATGAAGTTATAGTAATTTTTTACATCTTAAATTCATTTTTTTTTCAAATTGTTATGAAATAATAAATGATAACCAAAAGCAAAATGTAAAAATTATTGGAAGAATTTTCTAAGGAATTAAAAATATTTATTTTAACCAATGTCTATTTCTTAGAATGAATATTGTGTTCTAGTCAAAATTATATATCACTGTATTTTTTGAATCACATCATTCATGACCTACGCTTCTATATAAAATTGATTCAGTATTATTCTTAATTTTTTTTTTCTATTAAGTTATATAAGTTACTGTTTTGGATATATTTAACTAAAATATGCTGCAATTTAAAAATCATATTGCTTCCCATTTCAGTTTCTATACATTTTCCGTTAATAATACATATAAAAAAAAGTTATCTTATTTTATATACCCATCTCATACTTTTTTTATCTTTGACTACGATTTAAAATTAAAAAATATATATAGTCATATTTTGTAAAATTAATAAAGAAAAATGTATAGATTTTTCCTTATCAATTTTTTTCAATTTGAATGTTTTTAAATTTAATTATTATTATTTATTTATAAAATTATTTACAGAATAAAAAAATATTATTTTATAAAACTAATTATATTTAATTTTATTATTATAATAATATATAATGATGATGATAATAATTTATTATCATAAAAGAAAGTGAACGTATTTTATCTGGTAATAATAATGAAACTAAACTACGTATATGTAATAAACAAAATTTTCTCATTCCATCTACGTATTATTATTTTTAAGTAAATTGTAAAATTAAAAATTGATAACAAAATATATAAAATATTCACTCTTTAATTACATCTATCTCATAATATTATTTTATTCTTAATATATTTTAAAAATAAAAATTAATGGTAAAAACAAAAATAATTTAGTCATAATAATATTTAAAAAAAAACGAAATTTCTAAACATTTGATATTTTTGTTTTATCACTAATATTTTCTAAAACTAAAAAACAATAAAGAAGATAAAATATTGAAATGCTAAGTACCATAATACATATTTCATAACAAAACAAATCATTTTTATAATTCGAAAACACAATTGTAATACAAATCATTAGTTATTTTTTACATAGTCATAATACTAAATTTATTTTCTTAAAACATATGAAGCAACGTAATGTTTCTTTCTTACTAATAATAAGTTATTTAATTATTCTAACCCAACAATAACTATGATAAAACGTAAATCAACATTTAAATACATGTTCGGTAAATTGATTTAATACTTTAAAATAGATGTAAACAATTATAATACTTTATTACAAACAAATC